ATTTATGAAATCTTGATTTAATTTGAATTTGCAGTTCTAGGTGATAAACATGCCCCAACTTATAGACAATAATTGGAACTTTTAGCTATGAGATTGAGATGTCAATTATGGTCCAAATTGGATGGTTCCATTGCCTATCCTTGATAAGGATCATTTGTTAGCCTACTTCCACAGTGGTGACCACCTTCCATATAGCGCCCAACAATAACCATGTTCAGTTTATAATCGACAGAGTTACTTTTTTTTTTTTTNTAACGTAGTTCAATACAATTTTTTTTTCCTCTCACTTTTTGAGCTCATGCGAGGAAGGAGCATCATGCAGTTTAAGCTCTTGCGATGAGGAGCAATCTTTTTCATACTTCTTTCTCATTATCATGGAGAAAGTAATTTATTGAGAATACTTTCTATACTGCCATTACTTTCTTTGGAAAAATTTTGATTAATGAGAAAGGATGAGAGGTAGAGATTGTCCCACTGGGCGTGCCAATTTTGTTTACACGAGATTTCTGGAGAAATTATATTTCGTGGACTAAATATAATTTGTATTGATATTTGGGGGGTTCGTAAAATCTCTATATTTATCTTCTGATTCTTTCCCTTAAATTATTGGCGACTTGTTGATCTTGATCGGCCTCTTGGTGGCTTCTGGATATGGATCGGCCTCTTGACGGCTTCTGGATCTTGATTGATCTCTTGGCGGCTTATAAATCTTGATAGGCCTCTCGGTGGCTTGTTGATCTTGATTGGCCTCTCGGTGGCTTGTTGATCTTGATCGGCCTCTTGGCGGCTTATTGATCTTGATCGGCCTATCAACGGCTTGATGATGATCTTGATCGGCCTATTGGCGACTTGACATTATTTAATTTGCCTAAATTTAAATGACATATAATTTTATCATTATAATTACGTGGGAATTTGTGATTCGCCGAAATTTATCACTCAACAATAGTATGTGAGTTACGAGTAGAATGTTAGTTAACTTAAATTGCAAGTTTGAATTATAGTTTTTGAATTTGTCTAGTCCAAGTCCTAGCTTCTAGGTAGTTGTTAGTGTTATTTTTTTGTTATAGTCAAGTCAATTAGGTTGCTATTCTTATGGCTAGTGGAGTGAGTTGTCTTTTGTGTGGAATTAGTCGAGTCTATTTTTAGACATAGAGTGTGTAATTATATGTACCATTGTTGAATGAAATCCACACTTCCCTACTTTCTCATTTCTCTTTCAATAATAAGAACTACAAATATTTAGCACAATGATCGTTTATTTGGCAGACAAAGTTTTGAGACAGGTAAATGACATTGAGGCTGCTTCAAAATTGTGGGCAAAATTAACTAAACTCTATCTGTGAAAGTCCCCGTCAAATCAAATTCTTTTAAAGGAAAACATATTTTTGTTTCAAAATGGTACTCTCAAAATCCCCTGAAGAAAACTTAAACGATTTCAACAATATATGCCTTCATTTATTAAATAGTGGGGATAAATTATAAGATCATAATCAAGCAAACATCCGTTTGAATTCTATTCAAGAAACTTATAAAGAAAAAGAAATGGCAATCAAATAGGGAAGAGATTGGTTAGAGCTCGTTCTTGTTTATTGTTTCTATTTCTTAATTTTTAATAAAGAAAAATGAATTGCATCATCATAACCTCCATAAATTCAAGTATGATGAAACAATCTTTTTATTTATTTATGGGAACAAATTGAAAATAGAAACAGTAAAGAAGAAATTTGTTTCGATTATTTCCAAAAATTCTATACAATTTTGATAATGTTAAAAAAAAGGAGAAACGAGAAACATAGTTAGGTTAAATATGATTAGATTTCTTACGAAAATTGGAAACGATAAACAAGGAACGCGAACATTACCAAACAAGCCTTAATATTGTGATTAATGCTCTAAGATCAAAAGAGGTTGATATAAAAACAGAGAAGAGGGAGATGAAGCTCATATGGCTGAAGGTAGATCAACCAACATGAGCTTAGGGGTATTGGATTATATCCTTGACCAAGAAGTCATGAGTTCGAATCCCTCCACGACGTGGAGAGAAAGAGAATAATTTAGATGGGTAGGAGATTTGCTTAAGCATGTGCAATTAATAACATAACAATTTAAATATGTAACAGAAAAACCAAATGAGAAACAACAAAAAAAAAAAAATAACATACAAAAATAATATGACTCTCTCTGTAGGTAATCATCTTTATTTTTTTATATTTTTTTTCTCGAACTTTTTTTTCTGTTTACAGTTTATTTTCTTCTTAACCTATTTTCCCTCCGAAAGTTATATTTTTTAAATTATCTTTTACTATCATTTTTATTTATTTATTTTATTTAAGAAGTATATTTCAAAATCTTGTTTTTGTTTTTCTTTTTTTTTCTTTAATGTATCTTTTCCTCCCAACTTTACGATTATTTTTTTTTTTAAATTTGTCTCTTTTTTGTTTTAAAATTTTATTTAACTAATTTACTTTTTCTAAATCTCTTTCTTTATGTCTCCAAAATTTCTATTTGCAAATGTCTAAATTTGTATTTTGTGTCCCCTAGGTAAGGAATGACAAAAATTTCCACAGGATCGAATCTCTACTCAAAAAATAGGGAAGACAAATCCCAAACCCGTCCCAAATTTCATTTTTAAAATACTTCATATATATTTTATTAACATATTTACTAAATTGTAAATAAAATATGAAATATTTTTTTAAACTAATTATTTATAATAGTAAATAATAATTTTAAAACTAATTAATATATATTTATTACACTCTTTTTAAATTCTAAAAATAATTAAAATTAATTACAAAATCGATCATTTTTCCCACAAATATCCCCGTCCCCAAATAAACATTCTTTAGTCTGGTTCTCAATTGGTGGACTAAAAATGTTAACGAACAGGCGAATGGGAAAGAAATGCTTTAATTAGAAAAAGACGAAGACGAGGAGTGCCGACACCCTATGAATAACTTTTGCTTATTCCAAATTCAATAAACTACTCCATTTATTTCTTGTTTTTGGAACTTGCATTACTATTTTTCTTATAGTTCGGTTATGCATATTTACCTTTCGTTTTTTGATTTATGGAATTATTCTTGTTAATGGATATTTACGGTTCTCATTTTTAGATTTATGGATGGTGGAAGAAGATCAAGTAAATAGGTTTTTGAACCATTCTTCGCGGATTTACTTGTGATTATTGGCTCCCACTTGGTTTTATTCATATTTTGCTAGGTGCAAATATATTTGAGGTAGTTTACCTCTCGTTTATAGTTTTATGGAACTATTTCTATTTACATTTGTTGTATGTAACTTTGACAAGAGTTCTGACCTATTTACTTTTATTGCGAATGCATATTTACTTCTCGGTTCTGAATTTATGGAATTTATATTTTGTATATTGGCCTATTTACATCAATGATATTTACCTCTCAATTTATTTGGATTTACTTATGATCATTGACTTTCACCATTTTGTGCATATTATTGTTGGTTTTATGCAGGTATACCTAAGTGCAAATATATGACCGAAATTGTTGCACATATATATATACACATTGGTGAAAATTTGTACAAATAATAATAGTAAATATGCAAAATAAAATAATATCGTAATATTTGATAAAGATGAAAATATAAGTGCAAATATCATCTAGGTATTAGACTTATATACACGTGGGTGAAAAATTGTGGCAATAATCAAAAGTCAATATAGCGATATTTAAACTGAACTATGCATTATTTGATAGAGATGAAAATTCGAGTGGAAATATCATTGAAGTAGTTAGCCATATATACACATTGGTAAACAATAGATTAAAATAGAAAAAAAAATTGATCAACAATAATCCAAAATTAATTTAACACTAAATTATGTTTCAAAATTAATCTAAGAGTAAATCAAATTGTTTTGAAAAAGAATTAAAGTTTAATTTATAACTAGAATCAATTAAACAATTCCATTTGAATCTACATAAAAACAAACTTATCATTTAAATAGGAGATAGATAAGTTTGTTTGGTTACAAAATTAATTTAAGAATAAAATCAAATTGTTTTGAAGAAGAATTAAAGTTTAATTTATTACTAGAATTAATTAAACAATTTCATTTAAAATGGAATCTACGTAAAAACAAACTTATCATTTAAATAGGAGATAGATAAGTTTGTTTCGCTACAAAATTAATTTAAGAATAAAATCAAATTGTTTTGAAAAATAATTAAAGTTTAATTTATTACTAAAATCAATTAAACAATTCCATTTAAAGTGGAATCTACATAGAACCAAACTTATTATTTAAATAGGAGATATATAAGTTTGTTTCGTTACAAAATTAATTTAAGAATAAAATCCAATTGTTTTGAAAAAGAATTAAAAGTTTAATTTACTACTAGAATCAATTAAACAATTCCATTTAAAATGGAATCTACGTAAAAACAAACTTATCATTTAAATAGGATATAGATAAGTTTGTTTGGTTTCAAAATTAATTTAACACTAAATTATGTTTCAAAATTAATTTAAGAGTAAAATCAAATTGTTTTGAAAAAGAATTAATGTTTAATTTATTACTAAAATCAATTAAACAATTCCATTTAAAATGGAATCTACATAAAAACAAACTTATTATTTAAATAGGAGATATATAAGTTTGTTTGGTTTCAAAATTAATTTAAGAGTAAAATCGAACTGTTTTTTAAAAAGAATTAAAGTTTAATTTATTACTAGAATCGATTAAACAATTCGATTAATCTAAGTTTAAATATAGAACAAGGATAATGTTGGAAAATTTCATCTTAATTTGTGCAACTTATGATACGATAGGCTTGTAGAAATTCAGACTTTTTCTTTTTGAATTGGCTTAATTTGTCATCTAAATTGATGAGTTTAAACAAACTACAGTCCAACAAAACCGTATATCCTGAAATGGAGGTTTCAAATTAGGTAATTGTGAAGGAAATCCCATTGATAAGTGGGATTTGGCTACACTCCATTCAGCAGGCGGCTATGGTGACTTGGTAGGCATAATCAGTACACCACATTTTACGCACAAACATTATTGGGGTTGCGGTGAATGACTCCATTGCTGATTCTGGTGCCTTCACCGTTGGTAAGAACTCTCAGTGAACATCACTCTTTCGAAAAATCCCGAATCGGAATTTGTAGTTTACTCCATCTTGTTTATGCAGCATTCAAAGCATTGAAGAAAGGGTAGGGTGCAGTGCAGCTCCTATGAAATCTGGTCAATGTGAAAGGGTATTTCGTTTGGATAATTGGGAGTGGGCGGCTGGTTTCAGTTCAAGGTTTGGCCTTTACGATGTCATCATTTCAGGGGTAAGCTGAACAGATACTCCAAGGACTCGGTAACCATTTGCTGACGGGGAACCTCTTCGGCCGCATAATCGCATTCTGGTAACCATTTTCTCCTTAGGAAGTTTGCCTTTGTTTTTTTTGTTTTTCTTTTTTTTCGTTCCAATTTTACTATGTTCATATTCATGACTCTGAAGAACCCTTTAAATTCCAAATCACCGTCTGTCTGTTCAGGTTTTTTTTTTCTTTTTTCTCTGGACATGTCTGATGAAGGAATCAATAAAAACAATCTGTGTCAATAAAAACAGATTAAGAAAAGTAAGAAAAAAATGTCAATAAAAACATATTCACCTGTCAATATGATCCATTATTTTTCTACCAATTAAGGTACGTCCCTAGAGATTGAACTCAGGGCTCATTCTACAAGTGACCTGAAAAAAGATGAAAATGTGTTTAAAGATATGAACTTTTCCAAATGCCACTAGAATATAAAGGAAAAAAATATACCCCATATTTCTTTGATCGGGACATTAAATAATTATTAAACAAAGGCATTAGGAATGTTTTGAATCGTTAATGTAATAGTCATTGTCTTTAATTTTCAAACGTGATGTCCTTCTATTAACATTGTTTAGAAAGACTTATCAGAAAAAGAGGATTTCCGGCCAGTAATGATCGTGGAAGTGTTGATAATATGGGTCTGGGGTCAAAATTATTAAAGAAGTGTACTACCTATTTTAGAAAGTCCCTGAATTTAAAAAAAAAAAAATGCTCCACATTGGGTCTATTTTGACATAAAATTGAAAGTTTAGAGTCCTAGACACTTTTTAAAATTTAGGGCTCTATTAGACACAACTTTGAAAGTTCATGGACCTATTAAACTCTTTTCATGAAACTTTAAAGACATAATATTACATACAACCTTAATAAAGTTTTAGGAATCAAACTCGTAATTTAACTTCATAATTCTTTGTAATTTACTTTGATATAGTTTGTACATACAGTTTCTACGAGAGAAACATTTCAAACAAACCATTCCAAAAGTAAGAGTGGAGGAAGGAATGATGATAAAGAATGAAACCGCGACCGCTGCAAAATTCTTCATATAGCCTATTTTTTTTTGCCTCCTCTGTCACACTTAATTAATAGAATTCATATTTTTCTATTTATGGTAAAATGTGTGAGTTGTAGTTCATTTATTTCATCTCACAATGTTAAAACATCACATATAACCTTTTTTTTTGTGTTTTTTTTTTTGGAAAAGGTATTTACACTGTACATTGCAAGGGCATCTTAACACTATATTGTCAGAAGAACATCAAAAGAATGGAAATCTTTTGCTATGCATTTTGTCATCAGGTAAGGAAAGTTGGCTAATTAGAGCTCGTTTAGTGGTGTTTCTCTAATCAACATCTAATCCCACTATATTTTGATAAAAATTAAGACTTTCTATTTTCTTATTTTCTTTAAATCTTTGCTTCGTTATGTTGTGTCATTTTCTTTTGTGAAGTTTGAAAACAATGGGAAGCACCCTCATTGTTTTAGGTTGCTCGTGCTATATTAGAAAACTCGAAGGACGAGATTAAGGTTCACCTTATTTATGCTAACATCGCATACGAAGATATTTTTTGAAGGTATTTTTTTTATATCATTTTTTATTCTTGTTTATTTTGGTATTGTCATTCCATTTTTCATACTCATTGTTGTAATAATTGAAAATCTATAAGACATTTTTTAAACTTCCATAACTAGATACTGTACTCTAAAAGCTTACCAATCAAACAAAGAATCTAACAAAATTTCCAATAGTAGTATTATTAAATTTTATATAAAAGTTAAAGAAAAAAAATAGCTACAAGCAATATGTGTCATTGTGTCATAAGTGAAAGAGAGTGTGTAGTGAGATAATAGAAATTTGATCATAAGTTTTTTCATCCTAAAATCTCCATAGATAGACCAATTTTTTCGTCTTCTTCCCATTTCCCAACAATATATTGCCCCCAACCTAGTCTTTTATCCTATCTCGCTACACACTCTCTTTCACGTATGACACAATGACACAATAACACATATTGCTTGTAGTTACTATGTATAAGTAAATTTTCAAAAACTACGATCCATATGACTCGTTTTTTTATTGTCTTTTATTGCTTTAAGATCTAATTTATTATAGTCGTATGTATAGTCCAAATAAAATAAAGTTTCACATAAGGTGGCTCGAGCCTCCTCAACTTTGTAATATATATTAATAATTACAATATAAGCCGTGAAATAATCCCATTGGCTTAGTCGCCAACATGACCGCACCCCTCTGACAGCCTGTGTTTGACTTTTTATTTCAACATCTTTTAGCTATTCTTTTTATACTACTCTGGATTCCTATATATCAAGAATCAATTTTTTAATAAGGGGAAAAAATCATAAATTCTATGATTCTATGTTTAAAACAATTATCTTTCTAAGTTTCATTTTTTTTTTTGTTTAACTTTTATATAAAAATGTAATAATACTTCATGTCTCATAGATTTTCATTTATTACCGGAATGAAGTATGAGAAATGGAATGACAATGTCAAGATAAACAAGAATAAAAAGTGATATTAAAAAAAAACCTTCAAAAAATTATCTTCGTATGCAATGTTAGCGTAAACATGTTGAAACTTAGTCTCATCATTCGAGTTGTCTAATATATCAGGAGCAACCTAAACATAAGTAAAAATGAGAGAGCTTCCCATTGTTTTCAAACTTCACAAAAGAAAATGACACAAACTAGTACATTTATTTGTGGTTGCTATAACATTCTCTAAACAGCGTTTACATGAAATATGTTTCATTGCTTTAATTAGAAAAAGAGGAAGAGGTGGGGGTGTCGACACCCTTTAATCATCCCTCAGTCTTATTTTCTTTTATACATTATCATACATTCAAATTTTCTATTTATTCTATTAGTATATTGCTTTATATACATAACATATCAATGTTCTTTTATCTATTGCTATTATATACGCTCACTATATATGTGGTTCATTTTTCTTGCTCTGCAGCCTTCGGTTTCTTTTACCAAACACCCTTTGCATCATTATTTGTCATACTCCGGCTTATCTTCGAGACATTTTTCCTTGGCTGTTGCTATACCCACTCAATCTGAACCCAGCTTTTATCATCAAGCTGTGTCTTTCCCTCAATGGCGTGAAGCAATGGCGGCTGAGATTGATGCTATGGTCACAAATAAGACTTGGGAAGTTGTTCCTCTTCCGGCTGGCCATCATACCATTGGATGCAAATGGATCTATAAGATTAAGCATCGTTCTGATGGGAGTATTGAGCGATATAAGGCACGTTTAGTAGCCAAGGGCTACACTCAACAAGAGGGACTTGACTTTCTTGAGACGTTTTCACCTGTTGCTAAGATGGTCACAGTTAAAGTTCTTCTCACCATTGTTGTCTCTAAGGGGTGGTCTCTTGTTCAATTAGACGTCAACAACGCTTTTCTGCATGGTGATCTATTTGAAGAGGTTTACATGGATCTCCCTCTTGGTTATCAACCCCCAGTTACCAATATACCTGGAAAGCGCCTTGTTTGTCGGCTCAAGAAGTCCATTTATGGTCTTAAACAAGCCTCCCGACAGTGGTTTGCCAAGTTCACTTCTGCTTTGCTTTCTCTTGGTTTTTTGCAATCCAAAGCAGAATATTCATTGTTTATACGAGGCCAAGGAGATACATTTGTTGCTTTGTTAGTCTATGTCGATGACATTATCGTCACAGGAGCTTTACCTTCCATTATTGCGGAGTTAAAATCTCTTCTTCACCTTAAGTTCAAACTTAAGGATTTGGGCAACCTCAAATATTTTTTGGGACTTGAGTTAGCTCGTAGTTCTCGCGGGATATGTATTTCTCAACGACACTACACTTTATCTCTGCTTGAAGATGTTGGTCTTCTTGGGTGCAAACCTGTTATGGTTCCCCTTGATCCCTATGTTCGTCTTCAGGCTGCCAGTGATTCTGACTTTGTTCGAGATCCTTCATTGTATCGTTGGTTAATTGGCAAGTTGCTTTACTTGACTGTTTCGCGGCCTGATATAACCTTTGCTGTTAATAAGCTTAGTCAATTTGTCTCGCGACCTGGCAAAGTTCATTTGTCTGCTGTTTACCATTTAATTTGGTATTTGAAGAATTCTCCTGGTCGTGGCATTTTTCTGTCTGCTTCATCGTCTTTTCAGTTGAGAGCTTTTACCGATGCTGATTGGGGCTCTTGCATTGATACACGACGGTCTACCACAGGTTTTTGTGTTTTCTTGGGGGAGTCCATGGTTTCCTGGAAAGCTAAGAAGCAGTTCACTATCTCTAGATCCTCCGCTGAAGCTGAATATCGAGCTATGGCCGTCACTACTTGTGAATTAGTTTGGTTAGCCAATCTTCTCGCTGAGTTACAGATGCCTTTTCAGCCTCCTGCCTTGTTGTTTTGTGATAATCAGGCAGCTATGCACATTGATTCTAATCCAAGCTTCCATGAACAAACTAAACATATTGAGCTTGATTGTCATTTCGTTCGGGAGCGTGTTCTCTCTGGTTTTATTCGATTGATGCATGTACGGTCGCATTCTCAGCTGGCTGATCTCTTCACTAAAGCCCTTCCTTCTGCTGTTTTCTCTGAGCTTATTTCCAAGATGGGACTTCTTGATATAGACAGTCCATCTTGAAGCGGGCTATTAGGATGTTGTACATAGTTGTATTTTCATCAGTTACATGGTGATTCGTGCCGACCTGCGGAGGGGTTCTGTTGCTAGGCCGTCATGACCTTGCCCCTCTACCACTGCTGCTCCGACCTCCCTCTGGTGGGCATCGCTGGCAGCTAGAGTCCTTCGATCTGCTGTATTGGTCGAGTTTGCTGGTTGAACCATTTTCGCTTGCGTGTTGGTTTAAACGGATTGGGATGACTTAGATTGTCGGTCCCCACAGACGGCGCCAAATGTTTATGCAAGGATATGCACAACAGTGTATTTCCGATTGCAGCTCGAACTCGGCCTCCGGACCGATCTGAATACTTGGGCGGACCTGCACAAAAAGGTGAGCACTCCGACGATCAAGTCAGTACAGGTCGGATTCCTAGTTTAGTTCGAGGTCAGAAATCATCGTACCTGATCGTGGAGTGAGGTCCTCTACTTATGGGTGGTAGTCTTGCTAATCTCGCGTCGGTTACACCCGGTAATTTCGGGACCGTCGGTTACACCCGGTAATCTCGGGACCGACGGTTACACCCGATAATCACGCCGCTGACAGTAGCTCACATCGGCCCCTACCGAGCTTCCCGGTAGGTCGGACCTCGGCCAGGTTCACCTCGGCCCTCATACTTAGCATCTGTCAACGCTCGAGTCATCTTGGAGTACCAATAGAGGTCCTCCACGTGTCCAGAGTATTCTTTCCCCAAACAACCCCAACACCCATGGATATAAAAAGGGTAAAATACACTTTTAATATGAGATAGGTGACTATTTGATCCATAAGTTTTAAAAAGTAACAGTTTAGTTTCTGACGTTTAGAAAATAGTTCTAAATGGTCCCTGAATTTATTTCATCAGTAACGGGAAAGTGACGTGACATAATTGAGTTATTAAATTTTAATGATGTGGCAAATACTTTTATATTATTATGATATTTACACAGATTTTTTTCTCTTTTCTCTCTCTCTTTTCTCTCTGTCTCTCTTCCTCCACTTCATCTTCCCCAAATTAGTCGTTTCATCTTCCCTACATTTTCTCCCATCAACACAAACAACCAATAAGTTTCAGGTAGAAACAAATATATGTAAAGTGAGGGATTGAAAGACGGTATAAAACAGAAAATGACTGAATTTTTTAGCATTGAAATTTTGTCTCGCAGGACTGTGTTTTAGAGATTGTGTCACTAACAACACCATCGGACGCCTGAAGATTGGCCGCGGCGTTCCAGTCAGCGGCAGTATCCGACGTCGTTTGTGAGAGGTTCTTGTCCATAAGCTACGTCTGGCCGCCTCTGAAATCTCCGATGAGACCCACATTTTCTTTGAAGAGAGAAATTTTCTTTCAATTCGGCTATCTGCCCCAAAGGTAATAATTAATAAAATTAACTCCATAAACAGATAAATTTGGACTTGTTTTAGTGATCAACTATTTAATTAATCTTTGGCAGACCTTCGAGTTGGAAAATTTTTGTGGAAAGTTTTGTTACGTTTTGCTACAACAGCACTGTCGAGGTGGATGAACCATTCTCGAATAATTGATGACGAAGAAGAGGAGAAAATCAGGCAAGGATGAAATTGCTAAAACTGGGGAACAAAATGGGGTCTTAGAGATTCAAGAGGCAGCAAGAATTTTGGGAAGGAGAAGAATGGGAGGAAGATAGAGAAAGAAAAAAAAAATCAAAGTAAACATAAAAATAATATAAAATTATTTAGTATTGCCACGTCATATAAAATTTGACAACTCAATTATGCCCCACGTCATGTTTCCGTTAGTCAATTAACGATCAAATAAACGTAGGGACCATTTAGAACCATTTTCTAAACGTGAGGGACTAAATTGTCAGTTTTTGAAACTTAGGGCCAAATAGGCACCTATCCTCAAACTCAATGACTAAAAGTGTAT